GATCGCCCCATCGATCCACCCCTCTTCAGTGTCGAATTCCCCCCAAACCCCATTGCACCCACCCCCAGGAGAACAGGCAGGCTAATTTCCCACCAATTTTCTCCAATGTCACCCCAAAAAAGGGGTTTCGTCGGGATGCAGGGCTCACGCTCACCCTGCAGGACCATGATTACATTTAATGTTTAAAGCTGAATTATAATGATGAATCCAAGGAGAGCCTGCCTAGGATAGGGTTTTTTTTTCCCCCTCTCTTTTTTTCTTTTTTCTAATTCTCACTACTCAATCCAAAGCTGCAGCCATTAAATTTGGTAACATTGTGCTTTGGATAAATTTTGAGAGGGCAGTAGAGGGTGCTGTTTGTTTTCCTGTTAGAAGGACAGGGCCACTCACCCCTCCAGCCTAATATCCAGGCAGACCCAAAATGCAGAATAACCAGCTGTTGAAGGGTCAGCCTTGCTCAGCGCTCCAAAATTGGTGTGCCCCTCCAGCTAGCTTTGAAATTCAATGTGTTTCCAAGGGGTTGAAGTAGGGTCACTGCTCCAAATGGGTATTTAAGCAGGAATCGCTGTTATCCAGGCTCTCTTGGCCCTTTCCAACTTTCCTGGTATTTTCTTTTCAGATTGACAGTTTTACCACTGTATTTTTGCACACAGTGGGTCTGAAACTGTGGCCCAGGGGTGTGATGTGCAGCCAGAAAGCTGATGCTCTCCCGCACGACCCAGCTGAGCACACACCACCATGGCTTTCACTGGGCAGGAAGGGGACTTTTTTTTATGCTCTCAGCTGAAAATGTGGGGGGTTTTGTGATCCAAAGAAATGAGGGGTGCATGGTACTGGGTACACCACAGTTGTCTGCTCATGCAGACCTGGTTTCTTGTAACTGTTCTAGAAGGGCTTTGTCCTATTGGTTTAAGTTGGCTACTTTGAAAAGGTATATTCTTGGTTATTCTATTCTATTCTATATTCTTTGTTACCTGGGAATCAGAAACAGTATTTAGTGTGATTAATGACTGGGTTCAATATAGCCACAAATTGTGGGGTTTTTTTGGGAAAAAAAAAATCAGCACCTGATTTTGAGGTGCTAAAGTATTGCTGGCAAATATATGTATCCGAAAGGCACTTACACTGAGGGGAATTGAACATGGGTAACAGGTGAGACCAGAGCATCCTGACATCACATATCACACAAATAGAGCATTACAATTAAAATTGTAATTGCTTGTAGGGGCTAATTTCCTGTAGTGACTTTTGTATGCTGTGGGAGGTTTGTGCTGACGGCTCTGCGATGGCTCTGGCCTTCCTCACTATGAGTGGAGGAGTCTGGTTGTTTGGGGAAGATTGCTCATAATCACATGAACACCCGGATCACCCTGAATTTATAGAGTTGTGAATTGATACTGTTTGTGCTTAGCACACGCAGGCAAACTATAACACAGGATATTTGTGCTGAAGCGCGATACCATGCTTCATTCGCAGGCAAGGAAAATTGCCAGCAGCTTTTAGCAGAAGATGCTGAGCAGTTCTATAACTGTCTTGAAGAGCACAATGATACTTCCCACTGCCTTGACAAGGTAAAGCATTTATTTTACAGTCATGGGATGCACAGGAATTAGCCTCTTTACTTCTCTGCACCTCACTTTCCCTGTTAAATCAGACAAGTTTTCCTGTGTAGCATGGAGGTGTGGGAAGAGGTTTGCAAACGTTCATATCTCTGCAGTGCTTAGAGATCCAGGAGGAAATAGCATCAGGTTTCCTAGGGGTGAGAGGGTGAGATTAGCAGGAACCAGCCCTGCAAAGTGCTATTAAATGATAAAAAAATGCTGAATGAAAACCTGAGCTGGGTTCAATTTCCACAGCAAGGTTCACTTTTATACATGGAGGCCTTCCTTTGCGTCACCCCGAACTTGTACTGGCTGCTGGGGGCAGAGAGCAAAGCCAGGGCCTGGCTTCTCACTGGTGCACTGTCCTTTTCCACTCAGGTGGTTCAAATTCCCCCATCTCTTGCACAACATTGGAGGTGGGGAGAGCCCTCAACATGTGCTGCTGCATCAAAGAGTTTTAGTGCATCCAAAATTGTGCAAATATCTAAGATGTCCTGCTTGCTTCTGTGCAGCAACCTGTGCTGAACTGCTGCTGTCCTTTCAGCTTCTTCCACGCTGCTCCGTGCGCCCGCCGTCACCGGCATTTGGGAAGTGACTCCCCTTTTCCAGGCTTTGGTGGTGATGGAAGATGCCGAGAATTTCAGGGTAGTGTTTCGCTGTTATCCTTGCCTCTAAACACTAGGGGGTAAAAATAAAGCAGCATTGTTTAATTTCTGGAAAAAGCCAGATGACAGTGGCAGGGGTCAGAAATATGCATACCAGCCCTCCCTGTCCCACTGTCTCAGCTGTTGCTTCCTGAGAGACAGAAACATGTGATTGCTAAAAATACCCTGCAAAGAGAATACATTCTCTCTCCAATGGGAGAGTATAAATTAATCCGAGTTCTAACATATACAGCTGCTTGTGGCTGGGAGAAACAATTCCAAACGTGGTTTTTGGAGAGGGGTTTCCTAATGAAGCAGAAGTCCCAGCCCCGTGCCTTCCCTGCGTAGGTTGGCGATATTGCGCAGAGGATCTTCACCTCCTGCCTCTCCTGCTCCCACCCCTTCGCCCTCCTATGGGAAACGGTGTGGCTGGGGGTGGGGGGAGGCCAGCCCTTTTATAAGTGTGGTCTTGTGGCAAGTCGAAGTTGACAGGAGTGACGGGAGATTTGGCTCGCTCTGAGATACTCCCCTCTCGAGCTTTGGGGTCCCTTGGGATGACCAAAGGGGGAATGGAGTCGGTCGAAGTGTTCACGTCTGAAGGCAAAGGCAGGGGCTTGAAAGCGCAGAAGGAATTCTTGCCCGGGGATGTCATCTTTGCAGAGCCAGCCTACGCAGCCGTTGTTTTTGATAGGTAAGAGAAAAGCACTTGTAAAACACAGACTGAATGTCATCTCAATGCAAAATTTCATCTGGCCGGGCGGGTAAGTTTGAAAGCGTCTGGATAGCGTCAGAGAAGGGTGTGAAGGGAAGTCAGAAGCACTTGGGTAAAGACACATTCACAGCTTACAGTGAATGTGCTTCCCAGGGCTCAGATCAGCTTTTTTACTTTTAATGTGGCACAATCTATTTTCACGATGTGATCTTGCAAGGTGTTCAGTGCTGTCAGCTTTTACCAGATGCAGTGAAAGTTGCATGTATTCGATGCTTCATAAAAGCGGACCCATGTTACGCTCCTGTGAACTGCCAGGAGTAAATGTAATTCAGGTACAGTGATCACTGCCTTTGCTGAAGCCTCCAATGTATAATGCGTGATAAAAGTGAGTTACGTTGTGCTCTGCTCACATGTACCACCTCCCAGCTGTACACACAGCTTCATCTCCACTGCCTTCAAACTAGAAGCTAGTGGGGGTCTGTGAGTGATGTTGTTTCTGTTAAAGTGATTTTATATTTACAGCTAGCTGAGTTAACTGGAGACAAGTTTCTGCTTTCACTCTTGCACAAGACAAGTTTTAAACTTTTGTTGACACTGATGTAGCCAGAAACTGAATTCTGGTGCAAATGCATTTTTCTTTTCTGCTGCTTGTTTCAAGGACAAACGACTTTTCCATCAACCTGCGCTGCCAGTGTGGCTGGTAGGTGCCCACTATTGCCCTTCAAATCAGTGGAAGATTCACTTAAATACCCTGAAAGCTAAAAGACACAAAGAACCAATTTCTATGTTAATCTTCCATGGGATAAATCTAGAATAAAGCCTCAGACATGAGTGGAATTTGTTCAGACTTATAATGCACTAAGAACAGAATTTGGCCCAGGCTTTTTAGCCGAAGAGCTAGATGTCAGCTGAAGGTTTCATTCTTGGCTTAGGAAATTCGTGAGCATTCTTCAAGGGTGCCATGGTGAGTCCTGAGACTGATTTTTTTTGCCCCAAACTGCCAGTGACTTTAGTGAATGTTCTGCACACTAAATAGGGCAATGAGTGATTCTGCCTAGCTGAGCTTTTCCTGATTGAATCAACTCTGCTAATAAAGTCTGGGACGCAAGCAGAGCTCATGCTGCTGTTTTAATCCCCATCATCTTGTAGCTGAAGCTGATTCGTGCTACTGTGGGATCTGGCAATAACAGAGAATTGGGGATTAAAAGGACAGAGCAGGAAATAAGTTTTTTTGTGTCTTTCATTCACTTTTTCTTTGCCCTTATGCTGTCAGTGGGTGAACATGTTTATGAACCTTTACAATAGCAGCAATGACACTTCTTAGTTTTTATTTTGTCATTGCAAGAGCTTACATTAAAAATGTCATTATGTCATTTTTTATTTTAAAACGTTAAGTTCTTGAATTCTTAACCCTGAGTTCAATTACAGTAGTTAGTGACAAAACCATCTCTCCTTGACATGTCCTTTTAGCTTTTGTATCTTGCTTGAATCTTGCTGTGATACTGTTCTTGATTTAAAAGTGCCCACGCACAATGATTTGTCCCATCTGCCTTATTAAAAATACTAATTATCTTTTAAGCCATTGAAAACATTTTACCTTTTGATAGTTGGTTGAGAATTTTTTTTCTTCTATGTGAAATCATGCATCGAGTAGAGCAGCCCACATTGAAGAGCTACTACTTCACTGCGTTTTCAAATGTCGCTTGTGCAATGTGAGGTAAGGGGAGAAACTATGACCACATCAGCTCTTAGGCTGCAGACTGTGTCTGCTTAGATTTCCAACTGAAAACCTTGGATGGGGAGAGATGTGCTTCTTTCCCTCCCCAGGCTGAGTTTGTTTAGCTCCCAGAGGGCAGATCCAGACATTGAGCAGCAAGGGGGTAAGGCAAACACATCCTTTCTCTGCAGCTGCAGAGGATGGGGATGACTTCAGTCATTTTATCTCTCTGCTCATTCTTCATGCTGCTATGCAATAATAAACTCTTACCCTCCCGTAGCATGTGTCATGCCAAAGACCTTTATATACGTCAGTGGTGAAATGCATTCCCAAAATCTCCAAAGCGGGCAGTGCCAACTAAATGCTTGTTGGTTAGTGGTTGGCAGGGGATAACCTGGACCTGAGATATAATGGAAATATGTGTGTTTTCTTGTGAAACACACACATGGCTTTGGTTTTGAGGGTACCTTCTACTGCTGTTCCAGGGTATTGATTGCTATCAAAGAAGGGTAGCCTGGATCGCGTTTTTTATTGTGAAACACACACATGGCTTTGGTTTTGAGGGTACCTTCTACTGCTGTTCCAGGGTATTGATTGCTATCAAAGAAGGGTAGCCTGGATCGTTGTATGACCTGCAAGAATAAATTCATCCTAGGCCATGGTGGCTGGTTTTGCCCTGAAAGAACTGCTGTCACCTCTACATGGATGAAGAGTCCAATGAAGAGGCATGTGTTTTTCCATGCCCACAAACATTTATAGGTCCTAAAACTGGTGTTAAGCCTACACTATTAAAAAGGATCTCACCCTGCATTGGGAAACCCAAAGTCCTGAGTCCATCATCCTAATTCCACTCAGCAACTTCATCTCTTGCGGAAAGCAATGTATATGTGTACTGTGGAAAGGGGATTCCAATACGAGTGAGTGGTAGGTTTAATTTTTCAACTCAGGTCCTACTGAATAGGTGACCAGTTTTTCCACAGAACCCTATTTGTGTATAAAGGCCACCATAGAAGCACTACAGTGCAGAGTACTTGGAAAAGTTGGTCTGTACTTTGCAGCCGGCGAAGCGGAGGTCTCTTTTTCAGATTAGTAGGAGCTGCTCTTCAGAGATAAATCACAATTTTCTTGGTTTGGTCATGGTACAGGACAGAAAGCAGCTTGTGTTTGTGCCAGCTGTCAAGAGATGGGAGGCGTTACGGTTCAGAAACAGGGGAGCCCCATGAAAGCTGATCATCATTCAACCTGGTGAAAAACAATAATTATGAAATGAAAAATCTGCGTTACCTGCTATGGGTGTTTAACTTCAGGTGTGTAAGTGAGAAACCCTTCCATAGGGCTGTTGCATAGCAGAAACCTACCTTTCATACTCTGAGAAACTATTGGAAGAACAAACTTCTTTATTCCGACTGGACAGGAATCTAGGGAGCCTGAAGAACTACTCTTGGCACCCGGTGTTAGGTGCTCACAGCAGAAAGTGTGGGTATACTATGCTTTGGGCTTAAATGATGCAAAGGCTCTTTGCTATATATTAATGTGAGAAATTGCCAAAGTAATGTGAGGAATTGCCTGAGGCTGTCACCCACCTGCACTGTATGAAGGTCTGGCTTTCAATAGGAGGCTGAGTTTGAGGAGGTGTTGAGAATTTTATTTTGCCAGGAAAAGGAGAAATGTTTTCTTTGACAGAACTCTATAATCAGCCATCATACTCTGAACGAGTAAGACCCATCAATTTAACTGGACCAATCTACAGGGTGATTGTGATGGCTTGTCCAGCAATACGCTTTGGGACTCAGCCTGCAAATTAAGACACCCAAAACTAAGGTCTGTGATGAGTGTTTACGCAGAGCTAAGGGCAGGATTCAGTTGGCATAGGTGTTTAATGTCATTTGAGATGCCCCAGGGTGTCTGAGACATCCTCTTAGGGCTGACAGGTACAAAACAGGATTTATGAGAATCAGGACGCTTCTAAGGCCAGATGGGTGTCCCTGCAGTGCCTAAAATAACACTAGGCTCCTATGTCCAGGCAAGCGAATCCAGTCCTCAGTGTCTGTTATAGTCAATGAAGCACTATAATGTGCACCGAACACAGACACCTACCTTGGTGAGCTGAATGGCTTTCTAGATCCCACTGAGTGTTTTGCTGGGATCTCTACTTAGACACCTGTAGAAGTCTAAATTTGCAGACTGTTTCCTACCCTGGAAGCCCCTGAAGGTCACAGGGACCCTGAAGTCATGAAGGCTGGGGAGGGCTTGTACTTTGCAACCCAATGGTGGTCATCTGAGCAGCAGTTTCGTAGTCAGTGCCAGAGACTTTTAGTCCAAAACTCAAAATTAAGCTAAAGAAGGTTCCTATAAACATCATCCAGCTCATGGTTTCTTAGATTTTAAGGCCAGGGTATGACTCACAAGGCTAACCCTGCTCATTGCAGGAGGGTTGGACTAGATGACCTTTAAAAGTCCTTTCCAACCCAAACCATTCGCTGATTCTATGATTCTATAACCTTTTGCTTAACATAGTGGTTACCTGGTGTTGACTCCTGCATCAAGCCTGTTACTTCCACCTGAACAACAGCAGGCTGTTTAGGGAGACAGCGAACACTGATTGAAGGGGGGTGCAGAACTCAGTGTGGTCTCCAGTATTTTGCTGTTTGGATAAAGTGCAGACACACTCTGATCTGTGTTTGAATCAGCCTTGCTGTTATCAGCTGAAATAGCACTCAGAAAACACCAGTGTGAGGCCCACTTTGCCCTAAAATAGATGCAGAAGGTTGGAAATATATCTTCTCATGGAATTCTTTGCCTTTGTTGGGTCATTTTTCATTTTACAAAGCCCCTGTGCATTCCCCATTGGCATTACCTCTAACTGAAGCTTTCTCTAGTGCTCTGCTTACGTGCTGGGGTTTAATCCTTCCCTCCCCATCACTTTCTCTTTCAAGATCCCAGGTCTCCTTTCCTCATAGTGGCCTCCAGGATGATGGCATTCCCATTGCCTGGGCTCAATGTACAGTATGTGACCTTCTCCTCTGGCATGTCAGTTGGCTCTCAAACCTGTAAGAGTTTGCATTTCCTACGGGCATGGGGATGCCTGATATATCTCTATCAACCTTCATCAAGAGAAGGTTTGCTCTTTAACCAGTGGAGTTTGAGAGACAGTAGTCAAGGTAAACAGTGTCGTGTGGTAGAAAGCCAAGATCACCTGAAGATCTGCTTGATGAGTGATCTGCAAATTGCTAAAAACCTGAGATCATGCAATTCTTGCACT